CGCTCTTCCTGGACATGTGGGTACAGCATGCCTCTTATCATCCACCATTGCAGAGAGTGGGAAGAGTGCTGGAATCCTTACTCTTCCCATCATGAGCAGAAATTCCAGAAAAACAATAGGCAAAGTGAGAGGTAAGCCTGGAGAAGCAGGGTGACCCTTTACAAATAAGCAGATTAAGTTAGGATTATAATTAGTTTCAAATTGAGCTTTTGAGAATGGTAAAGAATTAAATTAATAAGTTGTTATAGAATATTAACAAATACAATAACAATAAAGACATATCTAATTTTCTGGAAGCTTTAATTTGCGTTTTGACTTGATTTCTTTCTATTTGATCGATTGTTAAAGCTGTTTTGAGTGGTTTTTAAGTGTAATTGAGCTCATCATAGCCTTTTTAATTGTCTTTATTTCCCTTCCCCCTTTTTTTCATATGAAAGTTGACTATATAATTATTAAGCCGTTACCAGGATACAGTTGTGACATGAAATCTTCATTTTCCAAGTATTGGAAGCCAAGAATACCATTGGATGTTGGACATCGAGGTGCAGGAAATTCTACAACAACTGCTCAGTAGGTTGAGTATTTGAGTAGTACTAGCATGTGATAGCTCATGCTTGATAAGGTTAAATAGGTTTGACCAACTAAAAGGTCAAACGATCCTTTTAATTATTACCCTGGGATTTAAATGTAATTTGGTAATTGGGGTTTCCAATTCAAATTAATTAGAGACTAACTCTCTTGTAAGATTCTGATCAGTCTTTTTAGTATTCTGCTGAATTGATGAGAAAGACATTAAAACTAGAAAGCCAGGAGGGGAGAGCTTGATACAGTCAGCCTGATGACATCAGTGTGTCTGTGTTGTGGTCCTGACTTTCAGCATGTTGTTCTCTCAGGGTCTTAGTTTCCTTACCTGTTCTCAGTACAGTTTCCATTCTTTCACCCTGTTGGTGTGTCTGCCTTTTTCCACCCTTCCCTGGTCTGCCAGTATCAAGTCACCTGAGGCTTCAATGCAGGGAGCAAGTTTCTCCACTACTTCATGCCCATTGCAAAGGATTGTTTTCCTTAACTGGTCACCTCACTTGGGGAGGTATGGGGTGGTATAGGATATGTCTGTATTCAGCTTGTAAATACCTAAAATTGTTAGAGCTTGATTTATGGAATGAATGCACACACCAACCAAGTCATGGTCACAGTCTTATTTTGGGGATGGCAAAATTAGCCTCAAAATAGAGAATAAGTACTATGTCCATTGTTGAAAATATAGTTGACTTCTTTACTAAATTTATTTTTTCTGTAGTAATGATAACTATATTTCTATATATTTCTTTTCTTTCAGGCTTGCTAAAGTTCAAGAAAATACTATTGCTTCTTTAAGAAATGCTGCTAGTCATGTAAGTGAATCTCTCTTTCTTTAAACAACTTTGGACTGGTGGTCCAAAGGTAGAAAAGTAGAGAAATGTAGGTCTGGAGAGCCTCCTTCAGTCTGCATTAATAGGTTAAAAGGGAGAATATTTATGCTTTTTCTGAATATATTTCTAAGTGAAGGTAAAGTATTTCTAGGCGTTTTTATTTAGATTCATGGTGAAGATTGGAGTTAATGGAATCCTAAGCATCCTCTTAATTAATTAATTTGAAGTATAGTTGATGTATATTATATAAATTACAGCTATACAATATAGTAATTCACAATTTTTAAAGATTATTCTCCATTTATAGTTATTATAAAATATTTGCTGTATTCCCCGTGTTGTACAGTATATCCTTGTAGCTTATTTTAAACCTAATTGTTTGTACCACTTAACCCCCTACCCCTTTATTGCCCCTCCTCCCACCTTCCCTCTCCCCACTGGTAACCACTAATTTGTTCTCTATATCTGTGAGTCTGTTTCTTTTTTTGTTATATTCGCTAGTTGTTATGTTCTTTAGATTCCACCTAAGTGATGTCATACAGTATTTGTCTTTCTGTGACTTATTTCACTTAGCATAATACCCTCCAAGTCCATCCATGTTATTACAAATGGCAAAATGTCACCCTTTTTCTATGGTTGAGCAGTATTCCATTTTGTGTGTGTGTGTGTGTACATACACACACACACACCTTCTTTATCCATTCACTTAGGTTGTTCCCATATCTTGGCAGTTGTAACTAATGTGCTGTGAACATTGGAGTGCATATGCCTTTTCGAATTAGTGTTTTTGTTTTCTTTGTATACTCTGGAGTGGAATTGCTGGATCATATAGTAGTTCTCTTTTTAATTTTTTGAAAAACATACTGTTTGCCACAGTGGCTACACCAGTTTACATTCCCATCAGTATAGGAGGGCTCCCTTTTCTTTACATCCTTTCCAACATTTGTATTTGTGTTCTTTTTGATGATAGCCATTCTGACAGTTGTGAGGTGACAACTCACTGTAGTTTTGATTTGCATTTCCCTAATGATTAGCGATGCTGAGCATCTTTTTTTTTAAAAAAATATTTATTTATTTGGTTGAACCAGGTCTTAGTTGCAGTAGGCAGGCTCCTTAGTTGTGTCATGCGAACTCTTAGTTGTGGCATGCATATGGGATCTAGTTCTCTGACCAGGGATCGAACCTGGGCCCCCTGCATTGGGAGCGCGGAGTCTTATCCACTGCGTCACCAGGGAAGTCCCTGAGCATCTTTTCATGTGCCTGTTGGCCATCTACATTTCCTCTTTGGAAAAATGTCAGTTCATTTCTTCTGCCAGTTTTTTACTTGGGTGGTTTGTTCTTTTGATGTTGAATTGCATAAGCTTTTTATATACGTTGGCTATTAACTCCTTATGAGTCATAATCACGTGCAAGTATTTTCTCCCATTCAGTAGGTTGTCTTTTCGTTTCATCGATGGTTTGCTTTGCTGTGCAAAAGCTTTTAAGTTTAATTCTGTCCCATTTGTTTGTTTTTTAAGCATCCTTTTTTTTTTGAGATAACATTTTAAGTGTTTGAGGCATGAAAAATATTCCCCATTAAGCACTGCATTTCATCAATTGAATTACTATGCTCATTTAGATACTCACTTTGGAAATAATGTTTACAGAAGGATTTGATAGTGATTTTTTTTTTTTTTGTGGTACGCGGGCCTCTCACTGTTGCGGCCTTTCCCTCTGCGGAGCACAGGCTCTGGACACGCAGGCTCAGTGGCCATGGCTTACGGGCCCAGCCACTCTGCGGCATCTGGGATCTTCCTGGACCGGGGCACAAACCCGTGTCGCCTGCATCGGCAGGCGGACCCTCAACCACCGCACCACCAGGGAAGCCCTGATAGTGATTTTATGTAACACTTTTTGAAGTCTGTCAGTTTGCATCCTGTATACCAACTTGATTATGTTGAATTTCTTAACTCCTTTTATATAATTATTCAGAGATAGTCCTTTTTTTTTTTTCAGATTTTAGTTTTTTCAGCACCTGAAACATTTTTAATCAAGAACCTGCGTTATTTCCCCCCACATTCCACTGTACCTCAAGTTAAGCCTCATGTTCTCAAGTTAAACTAAGGGAAAAATGGAGGAACATCTCATTTTATTTTGGTTTTTTTCCAGTGTCCTCCACATGCCTTAAACTCAGCCTTTTTTAAAATAGTTCACCAAATAAATTTGATTTGTCATATGTTTAACTTTATCACTTATATGAGCAAACATCTGTTCTAAGACATACATTTTTCATATTTTAATATCTCTAAAATAGGGATAGTTTTACAGCTGTTTTAGCTTGTCATGGTTTGATTGGCATTTTTTTTTCTCCCTCTTAGTGGTATATAAAATAATGATGCATTTTGTATTTCATGACATATTAGATTGACTATCCTAATTATTTTGATGTTTAAAAATGTTAATAGTGGATAGTTCAGTCTTTGTATTGAAAGGATATTAAATCTGTGAGTATGTTGTGCTGTAGGTCATTATTTGGAACCAGTTTTAGTTCATTGTAGCTAAGTAATCTAAACGTGGTTTTATTAGCTGTCAACACATGAAGATCCCTGATAAAGAACTTTTAGGGTCTCTGCTTTATTGTTTTGTTTTGTTTTGTTTGTGGTACGCAGGCCTCTCACTGTTGTGGCCTCTCCTGTTGCGGAGCACAGGCTCCGGACGTGCAGGCCCAGCGGCCATGGCTCACGGGCCTAGCCACTCCGCGGCATGTGGGATCTTCCCGGACCGGGGCACGAACCCATGTCCCCTGCATTGGCAGGCAGACTCTCAACCACTGTGCCACCAGGGAAGCCCTAGGGTCTCTGCTTTTTGAGAGAGGATTTCATTAAGCCCTTTTCTTCTGTTGAAACCCTTTGTACTTTTATGGATCTTATGTTAGTTATGAAAATCTGGTTTGATTTTAATGTTAAAGACATCTTGGAAGAGATTTTGGTTATTATTGTCTTATTTCTTAAAGTTTGCTCACACATGAATTTTTTCTTTTTTTTTTAATTTTTGGCTGCACTGCACGGCATGCGGGATTAGTTCCCTGACCAGGGATCGAACCCGCACCCCTGCAATGGAAGCGCGGAGTCTTAACCACTGGATTGCCAGGGAAGTCCCTTACACGTGAATTTTGAGATCAAGTTTTACCTCAGTAAATTTATCTTTCTAAAAGATGGTGATCATGTAAAATTAAACTTTTAAACTGGAAAGCTATAATTTCTTTTAATCATTGTAACTATTTAGGGGACATAGGGTTTGTTCTCTTTGGTAAAAATGATTTGTGTCTTTGTCTTGTTGACAATAGAAGGAGCTAAGCTTATTTCCTGCTTCAGAAGTCATTGAGGAAGTAGGCTCCTTTGGTTCTAGTCTCTGATCCATATGTACTGAAAAGTTGAGCATCTTCCTTGACCTAAAGCTAGGGTAAGGGATGGAAACGTGTCCATCCATTCTTATACAGCACTTGTCTGGGCCATAGACACATTACAGAATCCTCAAACCTTGTATTCTTTGATCCCAGCTGGCTTTCTTTTAGTGAATGCACAAATTTGTATGTCAGTTTATGTTCTCAGCCTTTATTTGGATTAATTCATATGTCATGATGGATCTGACTTAAGTCTAATTTGTGTCCACCTTTCTTCTGTTCTGTTTGCTTCTATTAGGAAATTTGGCATATGCATCATTCTTGTTGCCCATTTCTGCTTTCTCTTTCTTTTCAGCAGAAGTTACAGTTTCCTCTTTAATCTGATTATTGAGGTTTTATTAAGAAAGGTTGTAAAGTGTACTGCTCAAGTGCACCAAGGAGCAGAGCTAAGAGACTGAAGCTTATTCTTGTTCCCACCTCACCGTTGAGGTTCCCCTGTCCATCTGAGGTGTGTAGGGGCAATGAGGTGCGAGGTAGCCATGCTCCAGGCGCCATTTCTGCTAATAGCAGTAGCAGAGGTGACACTGGTGGAGGCTGTCCACTCCACAGAAGGGCCCCAGGGTGTGTTCGAGTAGGATCAGAACCCATATTTTTACCAGGAAAAAATTGCTGTGCTATTGCAAAAAAGAAATTATAATTGTTTTAAAAGAAGAAATTACCTTTTAGGAAAAGCTTGAAGTATAGCATTAAATAATTCATGAAGAAGTTTTGTGTGTACAAGTCTGTAATTTTATGGTGAACAATAAATTTCTCATGTTCTTACAGTTTTAGATGTATCGTGGGCCAGATAATATTTTTCAAATACTTGTTTCTTTTATTTCTGTCAGGGTGCAGCCTTTGTAGAATTTGATGTACATCTTTCAAAAGATTTTGTGCCTGTAGTGTATCATGATCTGACCTGTTGTTTGACTATGAAAAAGGTATGTAGAAATTCCTTTATTTTAAACTCTTACAGTTAGACAATAGGTTTTAAAACTAGGAAGTTTTGTATACACATGCTATGCCATTTTACATAAGGGACATGAGCATCTGTAGATTTTGGTATCTGTGAGGAGTCCTGGAACCAATCCCCTGCAGATACTGATGGATGACTATATATTTAATTATTTATTTAATAGAGTTGGTTAGTTCATTTTCTTAGGGAATTACTGCCAATTCTTTCCTCTCTCAAGCTCCTTCCTACAACATCAAGAGAGAGGGAGGAGTCAGGAATTAATTTTCTAGAGTATTTTCTCTGTATGGCTGAATTTTCTTTTTTTAATGTTATTTAACGAAAAGGATATTACATGTGGTTTCTGTATCATTCTGCCACTGTCCCTCTGTTGAGGTAGGAAAGGAAGCTATCAGAGTGTTTGTTTTCAGGCTCCTTTCTCTTTTTGCTTCAAGCTTTTTCTCAAGTTAATAAGCTTATATGATTTGACTAGTGGGAAGAGCCACAGTGAAAAATAAAATTGGAGAAGTGCTTCAGAGCCAGATACTGGAGAGCCTTAGGGGTTTAGACTTAGGAGCTAGGGACTTCTTTTGAAAGACTTTTGAACCAAGTAGGGACATGTTTAGAGGTAAACTTTCAGATGAATATTTTGATACCTGATGTAAGGACAACTTAAGAGGACAGAGACTAGAGACAGTGGGAGTGGAAATGTGGGCCAAACCTTAAGACAAGCCAGAACTGGAGTAGAGATGGTGAGAATGGAAAAGAGGGCATGATAGAGGAGAAAGTCCAGAAGGAGATTTGAAAAAGCATATAATTTCTTTAAAATTATAATTACTGTTGTATGGAAATAACTGTAATAATTATATAGCATCTGGACTTCAGTATACAAGTTAACCAAGTGATTTCTCAGGGACTTAAACTAGGAGGGTCCTTTAAAACCCTTTTCTTTGGCATTTTCTTTAAAACTGTGTTGGGTATCATTTTCCGTTGTGTTGATCTAAAGTTAAGGCTAGGAAAACTTGACAGCTGCATGTGGAAGAATGAATTAGAACATTCTCTAACACCATATATAAGAATAAATTCAAATTGGATTAAAGACCTAAATGTAAGACCAGATACTATAAAACTCTTAGAGGAAAACATAGGCAGAATGTTTGACATAAATTGCAGCAATATTTTTTTGGATCTGTATCCTAGAGTAATGGAAATAAAAACAAAAATAAACGGGACCTAATTAAACTTTAAAGCTCTTGCACAGCAAAGGAAACCATAAACAAAACAAAAAGACAACCTACTGACTGGGAGAAAATATTTGCAAATGATGCTACTGACAAGGGATTAATTTCCAAAATATACAAAGAGCTCATACAACTTAATATCAAAAAAACAAACATCCCGATCAAAAAGTGGGCAGAACTAAATAGACATTTCTCCAAAGAAGACATACAGATGGCCAGCAGGCACATGAAAAGATGCTCAGTATCTCTAATTGTTAGAGAAATGGAAATCAAAACTGCAATGAGGTTATCACCTTGCACCAATCAGAATGGCCATCATCAAAAAGTCTTAAAATAATAAATGCTGGAGAGGGTATGGAGAAAAGGGAACCTTCCAACACTGTTGGTGGGAAGTAAATTGGTGCAGCCAGTATGGAGGTTCCTCAAAAAACTAAAAAATTGATTTACTATATGATCCTGCAATCCCAATCCTGGGATTTCTGGAGAAAACTATAATTCAAAAAAATACATGCACCCCAGTGTTCATTGCAGCACTCTTCACAATAGCCAAGACATGGCTAAATGTCCATTGACAGATGCATGGATACAGATGAATGTGTAAAGATATGCACACATACAATGGAATACTACTCAGCCATAAAAAAGAATAAAATAATGCCATTTATAGTGACATGAATGGACCTAGAGATTATCATACTAATTGAAGTAAGTTAGAAAAATAAAGACAAATACCATATGATATCACTTACATGTATAATCTAAAATATGACACAAATGAACTTATTTATAAAACAGAAACAGACTTAGAAAACAAAGTTATGGTTTCCAAAGGGGAAAAGGGGTGGTTGAGGTATAAATCAAGAGTTTGGAATTAGCAGATACAAACTACTATATATAAAATAGATAAACAACAAGATCCTATTGTACAGCATAGGGAACAGTATTCAATATCTTATAACCTGTAATGGAAAACAATCTGAAAAAGAATAGATATATAATTACTTATATATGTATACACACATATATAAAAGTATAACTGAATTACTTTTCTGTACACCTGAAAGTAACACAATATTGTAAATTAAGTATACTTCAAGATAAATAAAGTTTGATTTGCTAACATGTACCAGACACTGCATGGTGTAGTATGCAAGGCACCTATGACAAGGCACCTAGCTCTGCCTGCTAGTGGATTCTAAACAGTCGTATCAGTTTGGATTATTATCAGTTATAGAAAAGGACCCTTCCCTTTCTGTGAAAGGGTATTAGGAGAAGGAAGGAAGGTGATGCACCTATTTGTTTAAATTTTATTTATTTATTTGTTTAAATTTATTTAATTTTGGGGGGCTACACTGCGTGGCTTGTGGGATCTTAGTTCCCCAGCCAGGGATTCAGCCTGGGCCCTTGGCAGTGGAGAGCACTGAGTCCTAACCACTGGACCTCTTGGGAATTTCCAAGATGCACCTATTTAGATGACAGAAGTAGAATTACTTAATAGAATTGGGGCAGGTTGTTTTTGCTGTGGGGAAATGTTAATGCAAAGCGAAATGAGAAGGAATGGAGTGGTGAAGGAACTCACTAACCAAGGTTGAGATTAATGACTCTAGCTGTAATTTCTAAAAATCCATGAGGGCTAATTGAAGAGTATAACTGATCCCCAGTTTTCACCAGAATTTGTCCTGCTCTTAAGTTGAACCTGGTTCAGTTAATTGCGGAATGAAAGCAGTAAATTATATATATATATATATATATTTTTTTTTTTTTGGTACGCGGCCCTCTCACTGTTGTGGCCTCTCCCGTTGCGGAGCACAGGCTCCGGACGCGCAGGCTCAGCGGCCATGGCTCATGGGCCCAGCCGCTCCGTGGCATGTGGGATCTTCCCAGACTGGGGCACGAACCCGTGTCCCCTGCATTGGCAGGCGGACTCTCAACCACTGTGCCACCAGGGAAGCCCAATTATATGTTTTTTAGTATTAATTTTTAAGTTGGTATTTTCCTTAAAAAACCAATTTATGTTCATTTATAAAATTATTCAGAAGATTATGAAATGAAAAGTAAATCTTCCTTTACTTTTTCTCCTTGGTGGTACTCCCTTCTCTTAATAGTTTCTTGCGTGTCCTTCCAGAAGAAATTTATACATATATAGCCTCATACTATATACATGAATGAATATAAATGTAACGGATTTTAATATATTTGTTGGATTGATGATTTATTGGTGGTACATTAACTCATTTTCTTAAGATAGAAGTGCCTAAACAGTGTGACATTAGATATGATATTAAAATCTAATAAAACAGACTTGCTCCTTGGGAAAGCATTTATAGTAGATTAGGGTTCCTATTAAATATTACTACTTACAGCTAACCAGACGATTTTTTCATGACAGTTGATTTCTATGGCTATTTTTAAGCAAACTTCAGTTTAAAAGGTTTAGAAACTTACTGATAGAAACTAATCCTTAGTTAGATCCTGCATGCCTGTTGATTTCCTAGTCCTGTAGCATGGATATATGTCAGATAAAATGTATACAGCATGACAGGAAATAGGGGAAATGACTGACTTGTGGCTTGGTTCTCAGTGTGTCTTTAGTGCTACAGCTTCTTCCCAGCTGTTTTCTTCCAGGCACTCCCACCTACATTAAAAACAAAAGCCAGAATTTAAGAGCTGGGAGGTGGTGTTCGGTAGCAAGGGCTCCCCTGCATGGGCTCACTGTGGCCACCAAGCTGTTATTCTCATCAGTAAATTGAGATATTAGGCCAGTTTAGAGTAAACATTCAGTAATAACATGGGGCCCAATTTTCTCTCTCTTTTAGAAATTTGATGCTGATCCAGTTGAATTATTTGAAATCCCAGTAAAAGAATTAACCTTTGACCAACTCCAGTTGTTAAAGGTAGTAATAATAATGTAAAATGTAAATTATCTTTTAGTTTTAGGACTATTTGTACTTGTTTGTATATAGTAATGTTTTCTTTGTGCATGGGGATGACTAGATATATACAGCATGTATTGAGTCTGTGCTTTGGTTTTCTGTTCTGTTAGGAAGAATGGGTTCATGCTCATCCGTCTTTAACAGTTTCTATGGACCCCATTTTTTTTTTGCTTTTTTGAAGGAGATGGGCTATAAGTCCTTATAGGCCATAGGGGCTAGCCATAATCTTAGGTTGTCTCTGGTCTGCTTTAGCTCTTTTTTATTTTATACTTAGCCTTCTATGCTATTGTTGATTTTTATAACTATGCTACTATCTAAGATCCTCCTGTATTTTACTATGGAATTTATATGATCCCTCTTCTTATTCTCATTAGATACCTAAGTTATTGGTTGATTGAGTATAAACAGTTTCCTAACCTAATAATTTTTATATTCTCCCCTACTTGGGTATTTGATCATGATCTTATGCATATGTATGTAAATATAAAGTATGTACAGTGGTAAGTGCTTATTCTTATTAAACTGATGATTCTACATTTTATAATTTCTCCTAACTTGCTAGCTTTTCAAGTTATAGTTCTATTAACCATATCTTCATAACCTAAGGTCTTTTTTTTCTGATTACATTTTGTGTGTGTGTGTGCGTGTGTCTTCTAGCTCACTCATGTGACTGCACTAAAATCTAAAGAACTGAAAGGTATGTACCAATGTGAAAACACTGTTTTCATTTCATAATTAGCATCATGAATTTCCTTATCCATTTTAACTTACTCTTGGTGACCTTAATATAATACTGGGTTATATAAATGTAATTTTATAGACATGAAGGCTTTATATGTATTAATTGTCAAATGCATACATGTCATGTATAGTAAGCATGATTTTTCACTTTTATGAATTTTCTTAGCTTGATCAAAAATTCTTTATAATTTTGTACCTATCCATTCTTTTTTTTTAATTAATTAATTTGAGTCTTAGTTGCAGCTGGTGGGCTCCTTAGTTGCAGCTCGCCGGCTCCTAAGTTGTGGCAGGTGGGCTCCTTAGTTGTGGCATGCAGGCTCCTTAGTGTGGCATGCGAACTCTTAGTTGCAGCATGCATGTGGGATCTAGTTCCCTGACCAGGGATCGAACCCGGGCCCCCTGCTTTGGGAGCATGGAGTCTTAGCCAGTGTGCCACCAGGGAGGTCCCTCTTTCCAGACATTCTTAAGCATTACAAAGTACAGAACGTATCAAGTATAGAATCTGGCTCCAGAGCCAGGAGTTTGAAACCGGCTCTAGCATTTACCAACTGTGATCTCGGTTACTTTATTTAACCACTCTGTGCCTCAGTTTCCTCAAAGCTTGTCCTACCCACAAAATCCCTTTGTAATTCTACTTTACTTTCTACTTCCACAGAATTTAATAGTCTGTGACATTCATTTTAGCCTTTGTGTGTCCTTTTTTTAACCCTTTATTTTTCTGTATGTCCTGTCTCTTCTGCCAGGATGTAAACCTCTCAAGGGTGGGGGAAATGTTTTTATATTCCCTGAAACATTTACAGTACTCTGGTTATAGAAGGTACTTATTAGATGTTAATCTGCATTTAGGATAACAGGATAGTTGGAATGCCTTTATGAAGAAATTAGTGAGGTGCCAAAGACTCCAAAGATTATTCTCAGAGCATAAATATGACTTTACAAGCTTGTAAATAGTTCATAACTATTAATAGTAAAATCAATTTTACCTTTAATTTATTTGACTGGAAAATTTTACATGATTTAGTTTTTGAATTTGTAATGCACTAGGGTTGGTTATTTTTGTTGTCATTTTTGTTTTGCTTTTTGTTTGTTCCTGGGTGATTTTTTTTTAATCTTGATATAAAAATTTTTCTCTTTTGGAAAAATATTATTGTGTGCCTTGAGACATAATCAATTTTGGATTAAATGGTAATGATACCTATAGATTCTCTTAATTTCTAACTTGATATCTCAAGTAGAAGTATTAGCAAGATTACACAGCCCTTAATTTCACGGAGAAATAACAAATCACTGCTTGTGACTCCTTTCTTAAAATTGTATTACAGTCTTTATAAGAAAATAATCACTGTTGAGGTCATAAACTGTGATGTTCCTACTAAATGTTGTAAACCAGTCTTCATAAAGGATGCTTATTTTGAAAATGGGGGTTTTAATGGTTAAAATTAATAAATACAGGAGTCTTCAAAAATACTATATATGAAAGGATCTCATAACTACATCTTTTTTTTTGCCTTCAGAATTTAGGAAAAGGTCTTAGTGATAAAATGGCATTTATCTACTGAGTTTTTGTAATTTAAATTTTCAGAATCTGTGGTTGAGGAGGAAAATTCCTTTTCTGAAAATCAGCCATTTCCTTCTCTTAAGATGGTAAGTTCCTTAGGAAAACTAGGGCAGGCTATCATTATTCTGTTATATCTGAATAATTTATTTTGGTCTTTTAAATGGGCACTAAACAGGCTGTGTAAAAGACAACATTAATGTAAACTTATGTTTGATGCTTTTTAGAGAAGATACATTCTTGTGAAGTGTGCCTATGGTGCCTTTTTTTTTTTTTTTTTTGAGAAACTTATTTGCTCAAATGAATAAAATTCCTACCTCATTGGGTTAATTTGGTAAGAATAGGAAATTCACATATTTCTGTATATAAGCAGGAAGGAAAGGGCACAGAAAAGGGGTTGGGGAGTGTGATGATGGGAGAGGCATTTTTACAATATGTAAGGCTGGCCCTTAGCTTTTAGAGAGAAATTCCCCAACCAAAGAAAATAAGTACCCTGGTTACTTGAAATACAGATTTCAAGTATTCATTCTGAAAATGTGTAACAAAAACTGGCATGAACATTTAAAAACTGGTTCCAATTCATAGAGGAATTCCTTTGACAGCGTCAGGCAAGCCTGCGCGAATACCAGATACCTCCTTTGTCCATTCTGAGTCTCCTTTTCTTGCTGGCTCCATTTCCTAATTTTTTCTCTTCTCCACTGTCTTTTTCTGGTGATGTGTCAGGTACAATAGACTTCTTAGGCAAAAATACGTAATTTCAGTTTATCGTGATTATTCACCCTCCAAAAAGGATGCTACAAGAGAGCCCCTAAAATAGACATTGTCTTAGTGCATTTAGAGCATGATTTGTATAAATTTTCAGATATTTATGAAGCCCAGCTAAGTCATTCCTTCTAGTCTAAAATTCTGAAATAGTTTGGTTCTTAGAAATTCCATGATTTCTAGACTTGTGATTTCATAGAACAGAAAAACAGGCTTTTAAAAAATTGTTTATCAAAGGTTTGACAACTTTCGTTTAGCCAAATAAACACACATTTATTCATTCACTTTGCCATCACTATAATTTAGTCAGAAAGTTTAAATCCAAAGAAAGGCCAAACGCAATCTTAGTGTAAAGGGGAATCCTCCTGCAAATTTGATGTATACCAATCTCAACACTAATATACACTACTGTCTTTATTTTTCTGATTTTGCATTAGTCCAGTAAAATTGTGGAAGGTATGTTAACTAAATAAGGCTAAACATATCGGAGAACAAAGTCAAAAAGCCCCACAGGAGATTGAGTACAACCTGTTTTAGGTACTATACTTTTCATGCAGCAGGGGCTAGATCCCAGGTCACCAGAGTCCCAGGCTGTGTTCTTACTGTTAGCATTCTTTTATTTGCTATTATAAAATTAAATACCATATATATTATACATGTTAAGTGATTTCTACACTTTGAAATACTGACTAAACAAACCAGCTGATTGTAAGTTAATAACCAAGCTTCATTTTTTTTTTTTTTTTTGCGGTACGCGGGCCTCTGACTGTTGTGGCCTCTCCCGTTGCGGAGCACAGGCTCCGGACGCGCAGGCCCAGTGGCCATGGCTCACGGGCCCAGCCGCTCCGCGGCATGTGGGATCTTCCTGGACCGGGGCATGATCCCTTGTCCCCTGCATCGGCAGGCGGACTCTCAACCACTGTGCCACCAGGGAAGCCCCAAGCTTCATAATTTAGATTGGATTTTCTACTTATGCTGCCCAAGTGGTATTATTGCAAAGTGTGTAGATAATTTAGTTTTTACTTTTTAATAAATTTATTTTATTTATTTTTGGCTGCATTGGGTCTTTGTTGCTGTGCGTGGGCTTTCTCTAGTTCCGGCGAGCGGGGTCTACTCTTCATTGCGATGCGTGGGCTTCTCATTGCAGTGGCTTCTCTTGTTGCAGACCACAGGCTCTAGGCGCGTGGGCTTCAGTTGTGGCTCACGGGCTCTAGAGCACAGGCTCAGTAGTTGTGGCTCACAGGCTTAGTTGCTCCATGGCATGTGAGATCTTCCCAGACCAGGACTCGAACCCGTGTCCCCAGCATTGGCAGGCAGATTCTTAACCACTGTGCCACCAGGGAAGTCCAAAGTGTCTAGATAATTTAGATATATTGACACTATATTATTTGTTAATTTATATAAATATAGACTTATTTATTTATGAGCCTCTTTAATTTGGAGTTAACATCTTTCCAGGAGGTTATCACTGTGGTGGTAAGCATCACCACCTTTACAGCAAGCTAGAAATCATGGTTTTTCATATAACCATATCTTAGTAAAGTAGACTGACATACCTGAATGCAATTCAGAAAACATGACAAATGTCTTTAAATTCATGAGGCTGCCTATCTTATTACTGCTCACTTTAGCTGTTCAGTAGTGATGGTGAAAAGGATTTTAGGTAAGGATCATCTTTGCAGTTAGTAGTGATTGATTATCACAGATCTGCTAAAGACTACTGCCTTTGCTACTTAATTTCTTTTGACTTTCTTATTCAACTTAATCATCAACCAGGTTGTCAGTTTGAGTATAAGAAAAGATAGTGGTTTTTGCTGAAGGCATAAAACACTTTATCTTTACTAGTGATACGTTTTCTTATAGTTTGCTTTTTGTAATTAATCCGTTTTTCTTTTTTCCTTCTTATTCTGCCATTCATCTCACCAAAAATGAAACAAAATTTACCACCAACAAACACAACTCTAGGTTTTAGAGTCTTTGCCAGAAGATGTAGGGTTTAACATAGAAATAAAATGGATCTGCCAACAAAGGGTAAGTCATTTTCCATGTGGCACATTCTTCGTTCCTCCCTCCCCCGTTTCTTTAAATGCATTCATTCCTGTCTCTTTGTTTTAATGGAATAAATGAAACTGAAATCGTGGCTTCTTCCAGCAAGCACAGTGCTTGTTGGAACTTTGAAGTAAAGCATATCTTACACTTACACTAATGTTTAAGTTCTTAAAAGTAGTGATGAATGTATTATAGTAGAAATTCTAATTTACATGTGTCTCATGTGCACATTAATATGGATGGTTTCTGGGCACACTTATAAAGTGAACAGTGAGAACTCTGGCCAGTCAGAACTTTATAACTCTGATTAGTTTTTGTTTTTTTTTTTTAACCCCCTGTCTCAATATATACCTTAAATAAGTGCCTAAGCAGTTTTCTGTTAAGTGGCAGTAGCTAGTAATAATTAATCAGGAAAAGAAATTTCTGCAGACATGTTTTAAATCACTCTGAAATTTAGTCGTTCTTTTGTTCAATAATTATTGAAAAGCTGCTATGCGCCAGGCATTTTCTGAGTTCTGTGCTTACGTAGTGAAGAAAACAGACTATAAAGCCTTGCCTTCCTGAAACTTAACAGTCTTCTAGTCGAGGAAAACAACTTGGATGTATCAGATGGGGATATGTGTAAATGGATAAGGCTGCATGGTAAGAGGGCTGATTGGGGTGGGGGGACATTGGAAGTAGTTAATCCAGGCATCATAATTGGGCAATCCTGGTATTTGTTCTGGTCAGAATAATCTATAACTGCCCTTAAAGCGTGTCTTCTATGTAGCTATTTATGATAAGCCGGTCCTGGCTAACATATAACATGTACGTGCACAACCATGCTTTTTCTAGTAGGTGATTTTTAGTTTTCAGAACTTTTAGAATTATTGTAATGACTAATACTTAAAATTTTTAATATTTGAATATCAACAGGGCTCTTGGTATCTTAGCTATAATTAGAAAATTATTTTTATTATTTATTGAGGGCACTTGATATGCCTAAGACTCAAAGAATGAGATTTTTAACTGGTAATTCTTAATTACCAGGGTTTTTGGGGTAGTGAGTTAGCAAACGAAGTGGAGTCTTTTTGTCCACTTATAGTTTATGAAGATTGCATAAAAATATTTTAAAGTCATGGTAGATTTCAAATTTCCAGAGTTTTTATTTTGTTAACCTTATTAAAGCAAAAGTCTTTTCATGTTATAATTGCTTTGTATATAAGTGTCTCTATACCTAATTATGATAATAATTCACACAGGCCTTTGCTTTCTCATCTGTAAAATAAGAGTTGGACTAAATGTTCTCGAGAATTTTTCCTAGCACTGTGATTCTAAGGTATTTAATGACTTTTGTTTTCCTATTCTTCCATATAGGATGGAATATGGGATGGTAACTTATCAACATATTTTGACATGAATCTGTTTTTGGATATAATTTTAAAAACTGTCTTAGAAAATTCTGGGAAGAGGAGAATAGTATTTTCTTCCTTTGATGCAGATATTTGCACAATGTGAGTAATTCAGTTTTTTTCTCCTATATGCTTAGACTGTAGCTAGGACTAAGGGCCCAGAGATTGTAGTTGGAGGTGGGGAAGTTCCCAGACTTCACCCTTGATTTGTCTTCTCAGTCCCGTTGTATATATTCTCTACTGGGATGGCCTCCACACCCGCTGGGTTATAGCACCTCATGCCTTGTTTTTCATTTTACAGATGTATAATATCCTCCTTACCAAATTGTAAGCTCTCAAGGGATTTCTTTTTGCCCATTTCTGAGAATATTTTAACTCTTGTATAGAATAATTTAAATGTTTCTTTTTTTGACAAAAGGCAATACACATTAATGGTGGTTATATCTCAGTAATGATTATGCTTTTAAAATTTTGTTTCTTTATATTTTTAGTATTTTCTAAAATTTCATAACAATATGTTATGGTTATCTCCCCAATGAAAAGTATTTTTTAAACTTTTTTAGGGTTCGGCAAAAGCAGAACAAATATCCCATATTATTTTTGACTCAGGGGAAATCTGATATTTACCCTGAACTCATGGACCTCAGATCTCGGACAACCCCCATTGCAATGAGCTTTGCACAGTTTGAAAATCTACTGGTAAGCTGTGGTTGAATATTTTAATATTTGTTTTTAAAAAATGTTTTAGAGCACTAGTAAATAAAGTTATATATTAATTTAAGATCTACTTGGTTAGTTTTGACCTATGTATAATGAGCAGGTAGCTCTACTTAAAATGAGGATATTAAATCTCAGACTGAAAAGCAGTTAAATGATCACCACCAACAAAGATTTTCTTGCAGACCTAGGTTAAGTAAGTTTTGTAGTTTAGTTTTCTGAGTGGCTTTTATGAATCATCTAAAACGGTTTGATCGTATAAATTGTAAGAAAAAATTCTAACATTTTCTTTCCCTGTCCATTCTGCTTTGCAGCATTCTGCTTTGCAGCAGGTTCTTATTAATTATCTATTTTATACATATAATAAGTTTCTCTTTCATGAGTAACTTATCTTTCTTCTTTTAGGGGATAAATGCACATACTGAAGACCTTCTCAGAAACCCATCCTATATTCAAGAGGCAAAAGCTAAGGGACTGGTCATATTCTGCTGGGGTGATGATACCAATGATCCTGAAAACAGAAAGAAATTAAAGGAATTTGGAGTTAATGGTCTAATTTATGATAGGTATTTGTTTTTCATGAAAAATTTTCATGGATTGTTAGAAAAAAAGTAGTAGAATTATCTTAACATTTGTCAGTGGAATTTTTCAAATTTTGAAGCTATACCACAGTCACTTGGGAAGCTTGTTTATAAATTCAGATGACTGGGCCCTAACCCAGATGTATTGAGTCATCTTGTGGGTGAAGGTGGCCACCCTAGACCTCTTTTCTGTCTACACCAACTTTCTTGGTGATATCATCCAGTTCTGTGCCTTTTCCTACCTTTGTATATCCCCAACTCAAGCCTTTCCCCTGACCTCTAAACTTTTATCTCCATCTATCAATGCCTATTCTTCCTGTAGACTTCCTGATTTCAATATAAATGACAACTTCTTTCCAGTTTCTGAGGCCAAATCCCTGGAGTCTTTCATGATTCTGTTCTTTATCTCATACCCAAATCCAGTCAGACAAAATCAGAATCGTGTTGATTCTGTCTTCGAAATATATCCTGAATCCTTTACTGTTGTCACTCTCCACTAAGCCACATAGTTTCTCAGGCGGATTATGAAAGTAACCTGCTCACTGGGACTGCGTCCACCCATGCACCCTGCTGTCCATTATGGGGGCGGGCAGGACTGAAACCTGAAGTCAGATCATGTTACTGCTTAACCTTCCCCCACCATTCTGTGTCTCCTAGTGTAAAATCCCACATCCTTACAAGGCCCTACATGAGGTGATCCCCACCCCCGCCCCCAGTTGGCCTCCTGCTGTTTCTCTTCTGATAAAGATGTCAGGAAAAACTAAAATGTCACCTTCTTAGTAGGGCCTTCCCCAAATATCCTAATTCAAATCAAAACCTCTACTCACAGTGCACTTCCTGACTTTTCTCCATACATTTACCACCACCTGATATATCCATATACATACTATATTTTACTTATTTTCTCCCCAACCTCCTTTCCCATCCCACCCTCAACACACCCCACAAGCAGAAGCTCCATGAGGGCAAGACTTTGCCTGTTTTGTTCACTGCTGTATCACCAGAGGTTAGATGTAGAAGCTCAAATATTTGTTGAACTAATCTTTTCTTTTTAAATAAACTCCCTGGGTGTTTAGGATGTAAGTCTGAGATCTCAGAGAGATGAAAAGGTTGCTCAGTGTAAAGAAATTTTGGGTTAGAGGGAATGTCATTTGTTCTGCTGAGGGGATTAGTGGGCTTGCTAATACCTGAGCAGCATCATACAAAGAGTAAGTGATGAAATTGTTACCAGGCCTGCTTTAAAAAATACTCGTTGGATTTAGTTTATATTACTGTTTGTTCTATAAAGTTATATCACTTTCTTAATAAAGCTTTTCCCCACCCCAACTTTTTTGCCTGAATTAGTCTGGTTTTAAAACTGCCACCTGGATAATGCCTGCCTTTTAAAGTGTTTGGTTAATACTGCTTTAAGTGGCATGATTCATAGCTCTTTTTAATAGACATTTCCAACTTATTAAAGGAAAATTAAAATTTTTAAATTACAATTTGATGGAAGTGCTTTATTTAGAAAATTTTGGGAGAATATTTCTTTCTTTGAGGAGGAGGAAGGGATGATTGCAAATATTTTCAGGCAAGAAAAGTATATTGTGAGATTATACCAGGTATGGCGGTTGTCGGGTATACAAATTTTAGTTAGATCCATCACTAAAGGGCCTTACTTGGTTGTAGCCAAACACTGACCTTGCAGGGAGAACAGGAAAATACTATGTGATACAAAAGGCCCTAAAGAAAGTGAGTTCTTCCTGGCTCAGGGTCAACAAGAATAATTTTAAAGAGGAAGGATTGAGATGGATTTGGGCAGGGGTGGGGTGGGGTGGGAGGGTTAAATCAGCTTTGACAGGATTTGCATTTTAGGCAGAGGTGCAAGCAGGCACCAGGGCAGGACTGTGTTGAGGGTGTGGAGGATGTTGAGGAGGCAGCCCAGCACTGGCCTCCTGTTCAGACCTGATGAGAGGAGAGGTGGACTGTGTTAGAGTCAAGTCAGTCTTTATTATCCTTGGAAGTTTTTTCCATTTTAGTCAAAGAACTACATATGTATATATAATCAGCCACACTTATATGTGTGTTGTGTGTATGTGTATATACTTCAAATAGTTCTACAAGACTAACAGTAAAAACCAACAGTCCTGGGAATTCCCTGGCGGTCTGTGGTTAGGACTCTGTGCTTTCACTGCTGAGGGCCCGGGTTCAGTCCCTGGTTGGGAAGCTAAGATCCCACAAGCCGTGAGGTGCAGCCAAAAAAAAATTTAAAAAAACAAACTTGCAGTCCCTTACACCTATCCCTTTCATTGTCTCTAGCTGAATTCCTGTGCCCTAATATTTTTTGGAACTATTTCTTGGTACTTAAGGTGCTTATTCTTTTATTTTTTCATTATCAAATTTAGACCTGTAGAAGGTTTGAATGATAGTGATTCAGAGCCTTTGTTTCATTTTACATGTGGGAGCATTGTGATGTGTTTTAGTTTATCAAAAACCAATTTGTTCTCTTTTACAAAGGCATTAACACAGATTTTACATTTAATCATGGTTTGTGATCTATTATAAGCTACTATGCTTGATTTGCTGATATTTGGAATTTCTGCATTTGTAGTAATGAGTAAGGTGGCCTTTAATTTACCTTTATCAAATGGTTGTTGTCTAATTTTGGCATGAGGGTAATACTTGCCTTGTAGAGTAAATTGAGTAATGTTTCCTCTTTCTATACTGTGTCTGCTCAAATTATTTTTAAAAATTCAGTAACAGACACTCACATTTAAAGAACATTATTATTAGATTTGAACTCCCCTGTGTTCTCTTTAATTCTATGCCCCTACCTCCTCCCTCAGATATAACTGATAAGCAAGCAATTACTCTCTTTTAAAAGTTTTTAAATTCTTATATCTATCGCTAAACAATATAACATTGAGTTTTTCATGGCTTTAAGCTTTATTTTTACTCTTTTCCTACTTGTTATATATATATATATATATATTTTTTTTTTTTTGTGGTACGCGGGCCTCTCACTGCTGTGGCCTCTCCCGTTGCAGAGCACAGGCTCCGGATGCGCAGGCTCAGCGGCCATGGCTCATGGGCCCAGCCGTTCCATGGCATGTGGGATCTTCCTGGACCGGGGCATGAACCCGTGTCCCCTGCATCGGCAGGCGGACTCTCAACCACTGCGCCACCAGGGAAGCCCCCTACTTGTTATATTCTTAAAATCAATCCATTTGTTAGTTTAGCTGTACTTTATTCATCTTCCTGGCTATATGATTCTACCACAATTTATTCTACTATTGGAGAACACTGAGGTGGTTGCCAGGTTTTTGTTTTTGTTTTGCGGTACGTGGCCCTCTGACTGTTGTGGCCTGTTGCGGAGCACAGGCTCCGGACGTGCAGGCTCAGCGGCCATGGCTCACAGGCCAAGCCACTCCGCGGCATGTGGGATCTTCCTGGACCGGGGCACGAACCCATGTCTCCTGCATCGGCAGGCAACCACTGCGCCACCAGGGAAGCCCTTTTTTTTTTTTTTTTCCAGGTTTTTGCTATTACAGTATTTGCTGTAAACATCGTTGACCAGCTCTCCTATGGTACATGTATAAGTTTCTTTAGGGCAGTGACTTAAACCTTTTGACCCCAAAACCAGTTAGAAATGCATTTCACATTGCAGCCCAGTGCACACATAGATATGTATATCTACAAGTGTGTACCTGAAACTAAATTAAAAAGATAATGCCCCTTGAATATTTTATTTATATGTGTGTGCTTTTTAAATGATTGTGCCACTGACTCACACCTATTTCAATGCTTTTCTTAACTTTCTGAACTGATTTTGTGACCCACTAGGTCTGTAGCTCAGCATGACAAGACATCCATCCGTCCGTGGGTCAGGCATTGGAAGTACAGCAGGAA